CAGTTGGGAGACTTGAAAAACATCTGGAGATATTTTTCATGTTTAGATCAAATAAATTCTCAGTTTAATATCCTGCTCGAGCTTTGTAGATATTGTTTCTTCCTTTGCAGGTTATCAGATGACAAATGCCTCCTGATACAAGCCTTATGCCCTACAAAGATCGCTCTGCGATGTCCTCGGGACAGTCTTTCGTGCATCCAGAACACGTTGAAACGGTACAACTTCAAGAAAGCACGGATCTCTCACCTTTCAGGTTAGTTGGTAGGGACAGGAAAGTGAAAGCAGAGGTAAAAACAAGGATGGAACAGGTTAAAGAAGAGATGATGAGAAGAAAAAAAAGAAAAGAGGACAATCTTTCGGTACAAAGCACATTCTTGTTAAGTCATTGAAGGGATGTGTGGGAAGCTGAGGGCTTCCCTGGTGTAGACTTGGAGATAATGCAAAAAAAAAAGGAGAATCTGGATTAAATCAAATCTCTCCTGATGGCTTTTTGGTGATCACTCCGAAGCGTGCAGTTCATTCATGTGATTCAAGAGCCACGAGATGGTGCTTCGACAAAGATGACTGAAATTTGATGTGTTAGTAAACACATGGGGAAGGTCACAGGCCAAATTCATCCCAAGACTGTTCTGGGAACTATTGGAAAGTAGGCATTTTCTCCCCAAGGGTGGCTGAGAGTGGTAGGATATATGGGAGTCCCTCGCTATTCCAAAGTTTGCATTTGGCCACTTCACTTTTTTTTAATTTTTTTTTAATTTTTATTTATTTATGATACAGAGAGAGAGAGAGAGAGAGAGAAGCAGAGACACAGGCAGAGGGAGAAGCAGGTTCCATGCACCGGGAGCCCGATGTGGGACTCGATTCCGGGTCTCCAGGATCGCGCCCCGGGCCAAAGGCAGGCGCCAAACCGCTGCGCCACCCAGGGATCCCTGGCCACTTCACTTTTAAGAAAGATCTACATTAGCACCTGTTTCAAAAGACATCTGAAGAGGGTTTTCACTTTTACAATAAAAGGCAAAGGCTAAAATAGCCTTCAGGGTTTGTTTCGCAGTGAGTTGTGCTAGAAGCTGCTCTCCTCCAGCGCCCTGCCAAGCTCCTTCCCAGAACTAGGCTTGAGCATCTCAGGAAGCAAGCCTCCGTGGCTTTGACCTGCGTCTGTGAGCATCTCTGCTTTGTCTCCATTCACAACGTGCATCTGTCAGCAAGATGTGTCCTAAGGTATCAGGAAAGCCCAGGAGAGGCTACTTGGTTGGGGGGAGATGTCTAGGAAGGCTCAAAATTTTTTCTTCTTCCCTTCATGGTGTTCCAGGTTGCGAAAGATTTCACAGGAACGCTCTAGTTTCAGACACCAGGGGAATGGGCAATTTCCCCTATGCTGAGCCTCCCTATGGAGAAAGTATACATGACCATGAAGATAGCATTAGAGGAAAGCAGAGCTGAGAAATGGAGAGAAACTGAGTCCTCATTTTAACTTGGCAGGCAGCCACACCTGGACACTTTTCATTTTCATGAGTCAATAAATGTCCCTCTTGGCCTTAAACCCATGTGAGGTAGGGTTGCTGGCACTTCACTTGAAATAATTCTAATTTTAAAAAATTTCCAGAAGCAGAATTGCATCATCCAATTGCTTTCCCCAGAAGCTATATCAAATACTTCACCACTATCAAAGGTGTTCCAGTGCTTCTTCCATTGCATTTCAGCATTAAATGTTGTTACTCTGAGGATCTTTGTCTATTTGATTTTAAGTTTTGTGTTTATGTAACTACCAGTGAAATAAAACTTTTACTATTTAACAAATAGCATATCCTTTTTCTATTGCAAATTATCCCTGTCTTGTTTTTATCAACCAATGGCCTAGAGGTTGATTAAAATGACTTACCCTTTGACACTTGTGGAATTAATTTTGCCTCTGGATCTGATACTTTAAAAAATAACATTTGTATTTTTCTGATTATAAAATACTATTCTGGCAGAAATTCAGAAACACGGTAAAAATAAAACATAGGAGAAAATACTAAAAGTCGCTTTTTAAAAATAAACATTTTATTTGAGAGAATGTGCGCAAGTGTGAGAATGGGGAGGGGCAGAGAGAGAATCTCAAGTGGACTCCCTGCCGAGCATGAGCCCAACTGGGGGGGGCGGCGCTGGATCTCACAACCTTAAGATCATCTGAGCCAAAACCAAGAGTCAGGCACTTAACCGAAAAAGTCACCCAGGTGCCCTAAAAATCACTTTTACTGCTACTGCTCCAGTATACTATACATTAGAGAAGCTCCCTCTAAATTTATATATTTATTATATTTAGTAGAATATAAATGTATGTGTGTGTTTATTGCTTTTCACCTTGTTTTATCACTTAAGATTTTATCACAGGAATTTCTCCCTTATCATTATTCCTTTTTTTTTTTTTAAAAAGATTTATTTATTTGAGAGACAGAGCACAAGCATGGGAGGGGCAGAGGGAGAAGCAGACTCCCCGCAGAGCAGGGAGCCCGATGTGGGGCTGGATCCCAGGATCCTGGGATCATGACCTGAGGCAAAGGTGGACACTTAACCCACTGAGCCACCCAGGCACCCCATTATTATTCCTCTAAATGGGTCTCGGACTCTTATCATTGAAGAACATTAAAGAAAATGTTAGTATTGTTTCCTTATCCTAAATACCTAGAAATAGAATTGCTGGATCAAAGGAGCTGCACGTTCTTAGAGCTGTTGTTATCTACCAAGTTTCCTTCTAGAGAAAGTAGAGTGTCTAGTTGATAGTGTCTTTGCCAAAATAGCATTATATTTATTTCAGTCTTTTCCAGTAGTGAGAAAGTGGCATCTAACTGCTTTATTTCTTTGGTTACTAGTGAGTGTGAATATTTTTTTAGTAAGTATATTAGTGACTGCATTCCTTTCTGTGATCTTCTGTGTCTATTCATTTCATTTGCCTTTTTTCCCCCACTGTGTTGTTTTTTCTCATTAAATTGTAAAACTTGGACACACCTGGGTGGCTCAGTGGTTGAGCGCCTGCCTTTGGCTCAGGATATGACCCCGGGGTCCCAGGATCGAGTCCCGCATCGGGCTCCCTGTGTCTCTGCCTCTCTCCCTCCATGTCTCTCAAGAATAAATAAATAAAATCTTTAAAATTTTTTTGTAAAGCTGTTTCATACATTAATATAAGCTCTTGATTTTATGTATGTTTCAAATATTTTTTTTCATTTTATAATCTGCATTTTTTTTCAGTGGTTTTTTTTTTTTTTTTTTTGCTATGTTTAAAATGTGTGGCCATATCTAGTGAGATTCCCATTAGGATTTCTTCTGTTGCTTTTTTTGCTTAGGAAGATTTTCCTTATGCAAAGATGAGATAAATACTAGCCAATATTTTTGTCCAGTATTTTGTTGCATCATCAACATTTTGTAAAAGATTTTATTTATTTATTTATTCATGAGAGACACAGAGAAAGAGGCAGAGACACAGGCAGAGGGAGAAGCAGGTTCCATGCAGGGAGCCTGATGTGGGGCTCCATTCCAGGACCCCGGGGTCACACCCTGAGCCAAAGGCAGACGCTCAACCGCTGAGCCCCCCAGGCGCCCCACATCATCACATCATTATAGTTAACCTTTCAATCTATTTGGAATTATTTTTGATATATGGTGTGCAACAGGTTCTACACTTATTCTCACCCCCAGGCGGCTCCCACCGCACACTTTTCGGGTGCTATGTTGCTGTCTCTCCGCCCTATGTCTTCTTTCCCCCTTGGTGGCAGCAAGAGTAAAAGGAAGGTAATTGAGGCTAAGTGACCCGTGGCAGTGTCATACTTGGATTATAAGCTCTGTTTTCTGCTCGTGGGGTTTTCTCCTCACTAGTGAAGGAGATGGCAAAGAAGAGGGGAGGCAGGAACACCTACCTGGCTTTCTCCACAGTGACAATAACCAGCAGGGAGAGACACATCTGCGGGCCCCAAGGAGCCCCCAAACTGCAGTTTTACGGGGAGCCTGCTGATTTGCAAAACAGATCATCCCTTCCTGCTCCTTGCTCTTTGCCCATTGTACACAGCAGCTCCCAAACCCTTCCCCAAACCAAGAGAGGAGCGGGTCGGAGGAGTTGGCCTGCCTCTAATTACCTCTTATTGAATTTGATGGTGGATTTTAATATCATTAACACGAGGAGGGGAAAACAGGGGTGGTGCCTGCACAGCTCAGCTTTGCCATTAATGTTCTTGGCTTAGCTCATCTGTGGTTTGACGAATGCACAGGCTCAGCAGCCCCCCCCCCTTATCTTGTCTGTTTCTGCAGGTCTCCCCCGATATCCTTATCCAATCACACAGTTCGGGCTGCATGTTTCATTGTGTATCTGAGCATCCTTGCTTTGCTTATGCTTACATAAATGTAAATGAAAACTTAGATTCTTTTTCATCACCTCCCACTTCCTTCAAGGCTTAATAGATGTCACCGCATAGTTTTTCTCGGCTCGACTGTTTTTGGAACGCACACGAGGGCACATTAATTATCCTAAGTGCGCAGCTCTGCCCCCGTGAGATGTATGGTCGAATGGAGAAAAAATAAATAAATAAATGATTTGTGCCGGAGAACGCAATACGCTGTGAATGTACTCTTATTTTTCATATCCTCATTTTCACGGGACGTGGGGAAGAGACGAGACAAACGCGGGGCGCGGACCGCCACTGGGCAAAGGGACGTTACACTTTCTCCTCCAGCGTCGGAAGATGGGGGGAAGGAAGGACGAGTCCCAGGAGGAGGGATCCGCTCCCGGGCCCTGGCCCCACCCACACGGGCCCTGAGCTAAGCCTGCGGCCCAGAAAATCCTCCCGTGGGCTTGGCACCTCCCCAGCTGGGGCTTCGGGACCCACAGACGCCTGCTCCTGCGGCTCCCCGCCCTGGGACGCCGAGCGGTCCCTTTCCCGCGTAGACGCCTGGGCGGGGGGAGGGGGGCGGCCTCCAAGCCCTTGAGCCCCCCCCGCCCCCGGGGAGCCCTGCACTTGACCCGTCTGGGGATGAACCGTCTGAGGCCCGGAGTCCCAGGCTGTATTTCTTTTCAGTCCTTTGATCCGAACGCCCGGGCTGCGCTCCTAACACTTCACCGATTTACGGCCGCTGGAACGTCCCGAACGCGTTTCCCCGGAGCCTTGCACGCCGCGCCCACACCTGCGCCGCCGCCGCCCGCCGCTGGGTCCACGCGTGAAAGGACCGGGTTCCGCGGCGTGGGGCGCGGCGCCGCGGGGGGTCCACCTGCCGGACGCCCCGGGCCGCGACTCTCCGAGTCCGCGCACCTCTTACTTGCAAACTCGTAGCTCGTTATTTATTTTACTTAAAAGTAAAAAAAAAAAAAAAAAAAAAAAAAAAATCATTAAAAAAAAATTGTGCTGTCACACTGAAGCCGGGCTAGTGTGTCCGGCGGGCGGGGAGCGCGGGCGGTGGGTGCGCGCCTAGAGGAGCGGCCCCCGCGCCCCCGCGGCCCCGCGCCCGGGGCCCCGCGTGTCCTCAGGGAAGAGGCAGCCGCGTCGCTCGCCTGCTCGTCCTTTGTCAGGTCTTTGTTCCGCCCGCGGCTACACTCGCGCAGAACCACTTACTGCGGCTGGAAAGGCGGGCCCGGGCGGCGGGGCGGGGCCTGAGGGGCGCGGGGGGCGCGGCCACGGGGCTCCCGCGGGGGAGGGGGGCTGCGCTCCCGGGACCCTCCGCCGCCCAGACGCCAGCGCCGCGCAGCCCGCGCCGGACGGACGGACGGACGGACGGACGCGCGGACCCGCAGAGGCGCCATGGACGGCCCCGCCAACGCCACGCTGCGCCCCGGCGCGCCCACGCCCGCGCCCACCCCGGGGGCGCCCAGCCCCGCGCCCAGCCCCGGCGCGCCGCCCCCCGCGCCCAGCCCCGCGCCCCCGGCCGGCGGCGCGGCCACCCTCGGCCCGGCGCCGTTCCCGCAGCCCTGGGCGCACCCGCAGACCCCGTTCTGGGACACGCCGCTGAGCCACGGGCTGAACGTGTTCGTGGGCGCCGCCCTGTGCATCACCATGCTGGGCCTGGGCTGCACGGTGGACGCGGGCCGCTTCGCCCAGCACGTCCGCCGGCCCGTGGGCGCGCTGCTCGCCGCGCTGTGCCAGTTCGGCCTCCTGCCGCTGCTGGCCTTCCTGCTGGCGCGGGCCTGCGCGCTCGACGAGGTGGCCGCCGTGGCCCTGCTGCTGTGCGGCTGCTGCCCCGGCGGCAGCCTCTCCAACCTCATGTCCCTGCTGGTGGACGGCGACATGAACCTCAGGTACGCGCTCCGCGGGCGCGCCCGGGCTGGGGCGAGGGCGGGGAGGGGGGGCACCCAGCGCCCTGGCGGCCCGCGGCCGCCCCCCTGCAGCGCAAAGGCCACCGGGCGGCCCGAGGCCTCGCCGCGGGTGCAAGGGCCGCCGGCCGCGGCGGAGACCGTGACCTCACCCGGGGACGAGGCAGTGGAGTCGGGTCCGCGAGCGGTGCTCGGCAGCCTGTCCAGGAGCGTGCCTTGGAGGGCTGAAGACGAAAACCAGCTGCTCCTCGCCCTCGGCATCGTCCGGGCTGCGGCCAGCTCGGTAGGCTGACACGGGCGGGCCAACAGCCCTCGGATGCCCCCCGCCGCACCCCCGGGGTTCATGCTCCAGTGGGGCGCACGGGTGCAGCTCTCTGGGCACCCACCTCCCTCGGATGCGCGGGGCCCCGCACGCTCCAAGCCGCAGGCTTGCAGTCTCTCTCTCTCTCTCTCTCTCTCTCTCCTCCGCCCGACGAGCGGGAGCCGGCTTAGCCGGCGTGCGGGGAGCCCCTGGGCGCGCGGCCCGCTCTGAGTTCTGTGCGCCCCCTTTTCTGCAGCATCATCATGACCATCTCCTCCACGCTTCTGGCCCTAGTCTTGATGCCCCTGTGCCTGTGGGTCTACAGCCGGGCTTGGATTGACACCCCCCTGGTGCAGTTACTCCCGCTCGGGGCCGTGACCCTGACCCTCTGCAGCACTCTCATCCCCATCGGCCTGGGCGTCTTCATTCGGTACCGGTACCACCGGGTGGCGGACTACATCGTGAAGGTGAGCTCACTCTTCCTTCTGTGGACTTTAACCTCTTTAGAGAGCCCTTGGCCTCCGACCCCTTGCTGAAATGCTAAGAAGTGTGGGAAAGGGAGATAAGGAAGGAAACTCGGCCGCCTTTGCGTGGGTAAACTTGGAAAAAAAGTTTGTGCCGCAAGGATGACCTTTATCTCTCGGAATTTCAAAAACTCGTAGCTTTAATTAAGACATGGCTTAATGAAAAATAGCCCAGGAGAACTATTCGTATTCAGGGGAGGAAACCTATCACAGGGGAAAGAGATGACAGTGCTGTCAATCGGTGACGTATTTTCCACCAGCAAATTGTGCATTACTAAAAATCAGAGCAGGTGAAAAAAATTATATGAATTGAATTCGTCCTGTGTTTTAGAAATGCATTACTATGGTTTTAAAAAGTGGAACTCCAACTTTGAGAAACTCTGTAGAAGTTTCCTTTAAAATGTCTTATTAACTTTCTAAAAATAAGTGGACACTAATCTGACCAAAAGCAATTGAAAAATCACATTAAGGCAATAGAATACACAAAATATTGGCTCTAAAGCACAAAATAAGATTGGGCTCTGTATAAATAATGTAGAATGTATTACCATTCCTAAATTGGTGTTTCTTTTTCCTTCCCCATTGCAGTATTGCATATGGTTTCTAAAGGTAGTGAAAGGCTGAGAATTCCTATTATTTTGTGCACTATTTCCAGTATTGCTTTATGATTATTTTTTTAAATTGGTGCTTGTTGAGGAGTAGGGAATTTGTAATAGTTAACTGGAGAAAAAAAAATTTAAAGAATTGTCAACTAAGCTGTCTTTGAAAACTCCAAAACAGTAATAAGAGTAAACCACGAATAGGACTCTTATTTTAGGAAGTTATTCAGACAAAATACATAAGTAATCACTGCTAATGCACAGGCAAATTCATTTAGATAAGTGAAATGGATTTCTCCAATGTTTCAATTATGTAGATTTAAGAAGACGTGATCTTTTGTGTTTTACTTAGATTAATTAAATGAATTTTAGATAAATAATAAATCTAAAATCTGATTATTCAGGGGAGCTAACATTTATTAATATGAAAAATTAAGAGTTCTTTTATACACATATATCCAATTTTGACTAAAAAACTACTCTAATAAACATGTATTTTGGATGTAATAAATGTATATGTGCATATAAATATACATATATGTATAATATACCTGCCAATCATCTTGAAATGCATTAAGGACTTATTAAGCTTAATCATTAAGCTAATACTATTAAGCTAATACTATAAGACCGTAGGAATTCTAAGAGAAAGTCAATCAAATAAGCTAGTCCCATGCTAAAAACAGATTAAGTATATTTAAGTAATAGATAACTGGTAAGATTGGCTAATTTTGAATTTAAGGTGAACCTATTCCTACTCCTTAACCAGAACACTCATAAAATATGCTTTCTGACACATCTGCAAACACTTTAAGATGATTATTCAATGTCGATGTTCACCCCCACATCACCAAATGATTTAAAATTGTTCAAAAGAAACTTTGGGGCCATTATTTTTACAATAAAGAATCAGATTTCCTGTCAAAGCTTTTGATGTGGACACATATTTTAATATAAGAAAAGCTTCAGGGCGGGGGGGGGGGGGGGGGGCTGGCTGGCTTAGTCAATAGAGCATGCAACTCTTGATTTCCGGGTCATGAGTTCAAGCCCTTTGTTGGGCGTAGAGTACCTAAAAAGGGTTTTGATTTATAATGGTTTGTTTGGTTTCTGCCCATTGCACCTTTGTAGCATGAGGACTTTACGTAATAATTTCAGCACCCTCTAGCAGACTTTTTGACCAGCCCAGATAACTTTTAAGTCATTTCTCAAAGAGTATAAAGTATATGCCAATCCCACAGACTCCAAAGGGGTTTCCCCTAGATATCCAGCAGACCAGAAGCAACATTTAAGTTGTTCTTCTGGATCTCTGGCTTCCTTCAGACACCTCCCCACCCACACCCCCACTCCCATTAAAAAAAGACGAGACAAAACAGAAAAAAAAATTAGCTAACTACTAATCTGAAGGAGAAGTAGGAGAGGAATTTTTAGGTTTCCACATTACCATTTTCAGTTTGTCTTACTTGAATGAGTGAGACGTACCTGTCAGACATCAAGATGATGCAATGTCTTGTAAGAGTCAGTTGTGCTCTATCTAAAATCCATCTATTGAATGTCAGAATTCCTACGCATCATTAGAGATTTTATAAATGGTAGGTTTCTCATGAACAGATGAAAAAGAGGGTGTTCAGAATTGCAAAGAATTCCTCACATCCTCTGATCACACTTTTCTCTCACATAATCTAAGAGTTGGTCATTGTTTCAATATTGCTATTTCTGATACAAAGTATTGTGAAGTCTGAAAATATCACATAGTAAGTTTCATACATTTTTAATAGCTTTTTATCTCACCCATAAAACCAGAACTAATTTCTTATGGAAAACGTGGGGTCCTGTTCAGGGAAGGTAATGTTCATTTGCACACTCTGTTCATCGGAGCGCACCTGGGGTGTTGGGCCCCATTCTAACTGCTGTTTTTAGGAAGTACATTCATAAATTGAACACATGTTCACAACAGTCAGGACTCCCACCACAGAGCTATGTGAAAGTCTGGAGACCATCAGCCTGAAGAAGAGTAGCCTTCCCACCCCTGTTGTTTGTTTGTTTAGAGAGAAAAGGGGGGCGGGGCAGAGGGAGAGGGAGAAGCCCAAGCAGGTGTCACTGTAGGCCTCGATCCCTGGGATCATGACCTGAGCTGCAATCAAGAGTCAGATGCTCAACGGACTGAGCCACCCAGGGGCCCCTTCCTTTCTGTTTTTTAAACAGGAGTCTGGCCTGTGCTGCTCCTGGGGGTCTGTCCGAGGTAATGGCTAGTTGTTAGGGTAGGCAGACTGTCACTAGACGTAAGGACAGGCCTCCAAACAATTAGAACTGTCCAGCCCAGGCCTGGACTCCTGAAGAGGTGACGTGCCCATCCCATCTGCAGAAGTTCTCTGTCAAAGACTCTGCTTATGGCAAGGATCTTCTTCGTTGTGTGCGAGGGGAGACCAGATGGGTCTCTTCTTCCGAGAGCCTAGGATTCGCGGGCCTCAGTCCCTTTTCAGCTCTCCTACTTCTGACGGTCTATCCATTTTCTATTACCAGGTTTCCCTGTGGTCTCTGCTAGTGACGCTGGTGGTCCTTTTCATAATGACTGGCACTATGTTAGGACCTGAACTGCTGGCCAGTATTCCTGCAAGTGTTTACGTGATAGCAATTTTTATGCCTTTGGCAGGCTACGCCTCCGGCTACGGCTTGGCTACTCTCTTCCGTCTCCCACCCAATTGCAAGAGGACTGTCTGCCTGGAAACGGGGAGTCAGAATGTGCAGCTCTGTACTGCCATTCTGAAGCTGGCCTTTCCACCGAGACTAATAGGGAGTATGTACATGTTCCCCTTGCTTTATGCCCTCTTCCAGTCTGCAGAAGCAGGGATTTTGGTTTTAATATATAAAGTGTACGGTAGTGAAATACTGCACAAGCGAGATCCTCTAGATGAAGACGAAGATACAGATATTTCTTATAAGAAACTAAAAGAAGAGGAAATGGCAGATACTTCCTACGGCACAGTGAAAGCCGATAATTTCATCATGATGGAAACCACTCAGACTTCCCTCTGAACGCGGAGATACGGAGGAGCTTCTGTCTTGCTGAGATATTGCTACGTATTTATGGTCTGTGGTAGTGAATCTGGTTTACGTAAAGGATGACAAATGGTTCACATTATCCTACGTGTCACAATTGTGATCTTCCCAGTGTAAGGGTGCATTGGCGTATCAACCAAGCGTTTTCACAAATTGCAAATCAATCTCATTCTATAACTTGCACCTGGGATTGTTCATCGTGGAGCCTGAACATGTTAAATGTGCTCTTTGGTTTTTACCATCACCGATTTCTGTGACTGCTTCAGATCTGTGAACTCTTAGAAAACAGGGTCTCGGAAATGTAGAATTTTGGTGCACTAGCTCATACGAGTAAAAACAAGCTTCTTTTTTTTTTTTTTTGTAAAGCAAAATTGAGTTTAATGTAATTGTCGTAAAAAAAAGTGCTTGCTCAATTTATGAATACCTGACAGTGTTGAATTCTGATCTGTATTCAAAAACTCCCAACACAGTTAACCAATGAAATACAGTATTTTATTGTCAATCCTGTATCCAATCAGGAAAAAAAAAAAAAAACCACCAACCTTAATGTATATCTGGTATCTATTAGTAATGGACCGCTAACATTTTTTCTGGGGAAGGAGGCATTTTCTTCTCAGCTGGGGGCTGACTTGGTTTCTGGATTTAGGTAGACACACTGCAAATCAATGATCTTTTGCAGGGATAATTTGGTTAGGAAAATTTGTAGTGCTCTCCACCTCGGTGGAGAACAATAGACATCATTAGCTCCTGCTATGCACTGGGGGGTGGGGGTGGGAGTGGGGGAAGGGGTGGGGAGGAGAAGCGGTAAGGGAGAGGGTGGGGGTGGGGGAGGGAATGGAGGAGGGAGTGGGGGAGGGGTGGGAGTGGGGAAGAGGAGTGGGGTGGAGGAGGGAGTGGGGAGGCGGTGGGTGGGGGAGGGGAGGCCGCGCTCCCGGTGGGGGGGGGCGGGGAACCTCTGGCCGAGGGCTCTCCCGGGTTCCGCCGGGCGCCAAGGGTCGCCTTCCGGGGCGGCTCCGGGATCCGTGAACCAGCCCCGAAGCGGCCCCGCGAGCCTCCGCAGCCCCTCGCTGCCCGCGGCGGGCTTCCCGGCGGCGCCGCCCCCCTCCCCCGGCGCGACCCGGGTCTGCGGAGCACCTGGGGGCACCTGGGTTGCACCTGGGGAGCACCTGGCGGGCCAATCGCGGAGATTGCCCGGGGCTGGAGGCCCCTGCGGCGGGCGGGCGGGCGTCCCCGCCCATCGGCTCCCGCCCGCGGCCCCGGGGTATTTGGGGCGGCCTCGGGGGCGGCCTCGGCCCGGGAGGCGTGGCGGATGGCGGGCTGCGGGTACCCGGCGTGCGCCCCCCGCGCGTCCCCGTCCCCGTCGCCGTCCTTCCCCGGCTGCGGGCAGCTCCCGGCCGCCGCGGGCCTCGACGGCTACCAGCGGGCGCAGCTCGTGGCCCTCCTGTCGCAGGTGAGCCCGCGGCCGCGCGGCGCCGGCAGCAGGGACGCGGCCGTGCAGGTGAACCCGCGCCGCGACGCGTCGGTGCAGTGCTCGCTCGGGCGGAGCCGCCTGCCGCGCGGGGCCCGCGACCCCGGTGTCCCGGCCGGGCCCGGCCTGGGGGGGGCGGGGGGCGCCTCGTCGTCCCCGCAGCCCGAGCAGGGCCGCCCCCCGAGCCGCCCCCCGCGGCCCCCGCGCACCGCCGCCGTGTACTCGTCCGTGGCCTCCCGCCGCCTGTCCACCTGCCCGCACCGGCCCGACGGCGCGGAGGACGAGGACGAGGAGGAGGAGGGGGGCTCGGCGAGGAAGGCGCCCCCGCGGCCCGGAGAGGAAGCCGGGGGAGGCCAGGCGGCCCCGGACGCCGAGGGCCCGAGGTCGTCGCCGCGGAGCCCCGAGCCCGCCACCGAGCGGCCGCGCTTCCAGGTGAGGCCCGGCGGCGCGGGAACCGGCGCGGGGGGGCTCTGCTCCGGGGGGGGGGCCCTGCCCTCCCCTCCCCTCCCCCCCCTTCCCCCCTCCCCGCCTGTGGCCCTGCTGGGGGGGCCCCTCCCCTCTTCTCCCTCCCCACGGGGGCTCTGCTGGGGGGGCCCTTACCTTCCCCTCCCCGGGGGGCCCCCTTCCCCTCCCCGACCGCGACCCTGCTCTGGGGTCTCCCCCCTCCCCCTCCCCTCCCCGCCTGCGGCCCTGCTTTGGGGGGGCCCTCCCCGCTCCTCCTTCCCCGCGGGGGGGCTGTGCTCCAGGGGGTCCCCCTTCCCCCCTCCTCCCTCCCCTCCCCGCGGGGCTCTGCTCCGGGCCCCCTCCCCGACGGCGGCCTTCCTCCCGCAGCCCTGCGCCGCCCGCCTGGGTCCCGGCCCCGCACGCTGCCCGGTGAACGCTGCGGCGGGCACACAGCCGGGGGCGGGGGCGGGTGTCCCGCGGCCCCACGGCGGGGACCCGGTGGCGGGACGGTGGCCTCCGGCTGCCCGTCGCCTCTGAGTTCCGTGTGGCCGGAGCCCTGCCCCTGCCCCCAGCCCCCTGCTCCTGGGGTGCTGACCCTCGCCCGGACCCGCGACGCCGCTCCTGGCAGCCCCTGCAGGGCCTCCGCCGGCCCCGCCCCCGGGGAGCCCCGTGCAGGGGGGGTGGGGGCGGGGGGCTGCGTTGCTGGAGCCCGGGCCGCTGCCCGGGTCACGCCGCTCACCCCTGCTGGGGTGTGCCCGCCCGCCCGCGTGAAACGTGGATTCCGGTTCCTCGGCCTCCTGGGCTCCTCGCACTGTTTGGAAACCGGCCCAGCGGCCCAGCGGCCCAGCGGCGCGAGCAGCGAGCAGCGAGCGAATCGGAACCTCCACTCTTCAGGCTCCTCCTGGCCTCTGCGCTCGCTCGGCTGAGCCGCCTGGTCCCCCATGACCGCCCGTAGGGGCGAGCTGGGCCTCGAGCCCGCTTCTCTCCAGGAGCTGGAACGAAGCGGCCAATTGAAGCAGCAGATGGATCCCTCCCAGCCTGTGCGATGAAGGGGACTCAGGGGTCCCAGGAGCTAAACCCTGGTGTCTTGTCTTGTTTTGTCCAGTTCTTAGAGCAGAAGTACGGCTATTACCACTGCAAGGACTGCAACATCCGCTGGGAAAGTGCCTACGTGTGGTGCGTGCAGGGCACCAACAAGGTAAGAGACCCCGTGGAATTGGCACCTTCCCGACCTAAGTGTCCCGCGGTTTTGCTTTACCTTTTTTTTTTTTTTTTTTTTTTGCCTTTTAAAGACCTCTGTTTATCCATGAGACCCACACAGAGAGGCCGAGGGAGAAGCAGGCTCCATGCAGGGAGCCTGATGCGGGACTCGATCCCAGGACTGCGGGATCCCATCCTGGCCAAGGCAGCTGCCCAGCCGCTGAGCCACCCAGGTGTCCCATGCTCTAAGGGCTTCCCTCTCTTCTCACAGGTTTATTTCAAGCAGTTCTGCAGAACTTGCCAGAAGTCTTATAACCCTTACCGGGTGGAGGATATCACCTGCCAAGTAAGTCACATACACTCGTGTTGTGTTTGAAGGGGGGTAGCTGGGAGAGGGTTTGGGTGGCGTTTGTTGAATGCGTCCTCGGGGAGGCAGGATTCCCCGTGACACGGTGACACTGAGCCTTTGCTTTGCTGTGGGGAAGCCGGGCCTTGGGGTCTTGTCTCCTATCCTTGCAGATCTCGGTCCTGTTAACCTCCTGAGACCCCGCTGCCTCTCCCTGCGGCGTGGAAGGAGTTTGCCTTAGCTGGTCCTCCGTCTAATGGGAGAAAGCAAGTCAAACCCGGGATACTTCTCTCGGGGCATGAGGTCGCCTGTTTTGCCCAAATGCTTAGTATGAGCTCAGGGTGTGACAGTTGGTCTCCCAAGGGTGCTCGCAAAGGGAGGAAGGTTGGCTTTAAGGTGAATTTAAGCTGGCCGGCTTTACGGGGCTAACGAGCAAAGCCTGCTGGCTGCCTACCAACCAAGCCCCGCTCGGTGCTTGAGGGGCTTTGATGACCTAGGGACAGAGGCCACTAGCCTGTGGGCGCACAGCCCTTGCTCGTCCACTGACACAGCCGGATCCGTGCACCTCCCTCAAAGTGACGCTGGAAGCCTTGCAGCCCAGGGTGGGGAGAGAGGGCCCAAGGAGGGGAAACCGCTGGAGTCCCTTACTGAGGGCGGCGTAGGGTCAGGTTCAAAAGTGGGATGCCTTAACCCCTCTGCTCTTGGCTCAGTGGTTGCTGCTTTGCTTTCCGTGTTTAAGGTCACTTGCAGCAGGTGTGGGGGGCTGGGGGACAAGGTCAGCCACCGAGGCTAGGCTGGATCCACAGCTCGCTCCTGGTCCCACTCCTCTCCCCTGCTTGTTTCTTCTCCACCCTTCAAGTGCAGAAAGCGCTTTCCTTTTAGATCCTTGTGAAGTTTGTTTCGCAACACAAGTCTGAATCCCGTGCCACATGGGAGCACGACTACCTGGCTTTAAGCACCCTCTGTTCCTACCGTCCTTGCCGGAAGGGGTGCAGGTGGAACAGGATTGAGTAGCACAGGGCCTTGCTTAGCGTGCATCATCCGGTAAGTATCTGGACTAGAACTCTGAGGACGTCCCCACGGGTTTATGTGCTTCTCACTTTGGTTTTGCAGAGCTGTAAACAGACTAGATGCTCCTGCACAGTAAAACTCCGCCACGTTGACCCCAAAAGGCCCCATCGTCAAGATTTGTGTGGGAGATGCAAAGGCAAACGCCTATCCTGTGACAGCACTTTCAGCTTCAAATATATCATTTAAATGAATGTTAAAAAAAAAAAAAAACCCCGAACGTGAGCAGACACGTTAGCTTTCTCCCGTGCTCCTCCTTTCTGCCTCTCCCTTCTCAGAATACTTCGTGAAAGGCTGTAGTTTTGACAAAGCCTTCAAATAAAAGTACTGCAAGAACAATGGACAAATTGCATGACCTTTCTTTAGGTTCAGGAGAGCTGCTCTTACGCTAACAGCCTGGGTCTGTCACTGAACGGGCCTCCCACGTGTGAGGTTTTCTGCTTGCGTGGGGCTATGAGCCAGATAGTGAATGAGAAGCCACGTGACCATTAAGTAGCAAGCGCTCTTGGGGGTGGGTAGTGGAGGCAGAGCAGGCCTTGGTGTGTGAGCTTGGGCTTTGGGTCCGGTTGCCCCAAGTGGCTGGCAGCTGGGGCTGGAGGCTGGGAACTGCATGGCCTGGGTGATCACAATCACAGAGGGTCGAGGTGGGGACTGGCTTAGGGCACCTTCTGTGAGATGCTAACTGAATCACTTGGCCTTCAGGTGGTACCTCAAATGGGCCTCCTAAACGTAAAGCTCTCAAGTTAGTTAACCTGCTTAGGATGGGTTATGGTGCAGTTCTGCAGCTGCGAACTAACCTGGGAATTCTAGCTCTGCCTGCTAGCTTCCTCGATTCCCAAGAGACTCCTAAGGCCCTGCACCCATAGGGGAGGGGAGGGGAGCCCCCCTGCTTGGGGATGGCATTTTATCTAGAGCCTCAAGATTTTAATGATGGTTGAGGGTTATTGGTTTAAAGGTTACAGAAACTAAGTAACAAGCCAGCTGTTAAGTATGGCTGCTTGTCTAATCTGCCCCTTAAGGTTAACCCTTACGACGTTGGAGGCTAGTATACGTGTCCGGTAACCTCCTGGATGCATGGGCCTAGAAAATGTAAGGGGGCAGCCCCGGTGGCCCAGCGGTTTAGCGCTGCCTTCAGCCCGGGGAGTGATCCTGGGGTTCCGGGATAGAGTCCCACGTCGGGCTCCCTGCACGGAGCCTGCTTCTCCCTCTGTCTGTGTCTCTGCCTCTCTCTCTGTCTCTACGAATAAATCTTTAAAAAATGTAAGGAATAAAACAACCTAAAGTGAGTTTGAGGTCTCTAGACCCCTTGGAGCAAGGGGAAATCCTCTCTGCATCCACATGAACCAAGGAAGGTGCTTGTAAAAAGATTCCGGGGCCCCTCGCTCTTCTGAATCACCATCTGGGAGTGAGGCATTTTAACAAGCACCCCGGGGTGCTGCTGATGGAGGTGTGGAAGCTATCACTTGAGTCAACCTCGTGCTTCGAGGAAAAACACAGACGTGGCCTCTACCCTTATGGAGCTTCCAGTGTAGTGAGTAGATGGCCAATATTTTCTGCATTTAAAAACTTGGGAGTTTGTCATGTAATATTAATACAGGCTACGTATGTAGGTGCTTGTAATAGGGGATCAAGTCTAAACCTGAGGTCAGAGGTTTGCCTGGAAAAATAACACGTGGGCTAACCTGAAGTTTGGGTAAGTTGAATTAGGAGGAGGAGGAGAAACTTTTCAGACCAAGGTAGCATGTGCAAAGGCCCAGTGGTAGAGCAAACCAGAAGGAAACTACAGTAGTAGAAAATGCGAGGGACAGGGGTGGGCATGACGGCGAGTGAAACTGGGAGGACTGGTCTTTGTCCTCGGAATTCACTGAAAGATTTTAAAGCTGCAGTGGGATGCCAACAGATTGACCTTTAAGAGGAAATAATCACAGTGGACGCCTGTAAACCAGTACGGAGACTTGCAAAGATCAAATGGTGGTGGGGCCAGAGATGAACGACAACTCGAGGCGTGGGGGAAGGTGATGTTCTAACACCTGTTCCTACTGGTTTGGTTGAGGGTAGGGGCAGGGAAAGGAAACTCGACTCCGGTGGCACGCAAGCCCATGCCCTAAACACTAGTGGAGCGAGGGAACAAGAGAAACACCTGTAGGGAGTCCTGAGTCTATGAACTTGGGTGTCAGTCATTCTTCAAACATGAGAGCTTGTCACTACGACTGCTAAGGGAGTAGCTGAGCGGTTTTACAGCCGAGGAAAGCCGGCATCAAAACAGGTTTTACTTTGTTCATTACACACTAAGTGGCACAAAAACATCTTATGTTAAAAGTTGTGGTAACATCCTAGCAATTAGCACTGTCAAACTACAAAGGAAATTTTATATATATCTCCCATGTATTTTTTTTTAAAGATTTTATTCATTTATTCATGAGAGACACAGAGGGAGAAGCAGGCTCCATGCAGGGAGCCCGACGTGGGACTCGATCCCGGGTCTCTAGGATCAGGCCCTGGGCTGCAGGCGGCACTAAACCACTGGGTCAGTGGGGCTGCCCCATGTATAGCATAATATGTATGTTTAGCAAGAGAGGCTTTGACTAGAAGGAAATACCCCAGAACACTGTTACCTCTGGGTATCAAGTGATTCGTTTATTTGTTCAGGAGAGATCCACAGAGGCCGGGACACAGGCAGAGGGAGAAGCGGGCCCCCTGCGGGGGGTGGTGGGGGACTCGATCCAGGGATCAAGACCTGAGCAGAAGGCAGGTGCTCAACCCCGGAGCCACCCAGGGGCCCCTCTTGGGTTCTTTATATCCTGCATTTGCTAAGGTGACAGTGGATTACTTGGAAAAAAAATTTTAAATGCCATGAAGTGCAATTATGATTACATTGATTCTAGTATCTTCTTTTCATTTAGATTATGAGACATGGTGTAGGAGCAGTTCTCCAGGACCTAAATGAGGAAAGCTTACTGGCTTTGGTGAGTTTGTTCCAAGAGAGTGTTTATTTCTTAAACTTATGGTAGGTTGTACCATGCCCTCTATATCACTGAAAGGAAATATTTTCTAAATTGTGTAAAAGAAAAAGCCAGGTCTCTTCTCTGGGTGTTATTTTACAAGCTTACTATTTATTTACTTAAGATTTTAATTTATTTACTCTTGAGAGACAGAGAGGCAGAGACCCAGGCAGAGGGAGAAGCAGGCTCCCTGTGGGGAGCCCGATGCGGGACTCGATCCCGGGACCCCGGGGTCATGCCCCGAGCCAACCATTGAGCCACTGGGTGTCCCACAAGCTTACTATTTAAAAAATGATCAACCTCGTGGGCAAAAGAAAGAGACCTATGTGAGCACAAACGGCTCTGTGTGGAACTACGTAGGGTATTTAATAAACTTAAGCATTTGATATACTTTGTTAAATGCAAACGTTGGATTCAGAGGAGTGAACTAGTATAGGTTTTAGGAAAACTCAATTGCAAAAGGACAACCCTAATGACTTTATATTTGCATTTTGCTTTCTGTAGGTGCATTCATCTTGTTAATCAACTTAGCTACATAAACAAGAAAAGGAAGTTTCAACTGTTCAAAGGTATGGTTTGGGTAATTAGTCAACCTAATTTGTTCTCAACTTTGTTCTTTTAGGGAGAGTTATGTTTAAGAACGAGGGCAATATTTGAAAAGTCGCTACATGATGCACACTATAATCATTCATCCTTAAAATACAACACAAATCAACAGCTACAATGCTTCTTTATTTTAACAAAAAGGATATAAGGAGGGTGAGAAAATAGGGGGATAGTAAGGTAGGATGTAAAGTGTGGGGTGTCTCTGGACACCATCCCGCTCTTCCTGCCCCACACCCAAAAGTTATTAAATAATTTAAAGGACACCATTTACAGTACCAGAACACCATCAAAATAATTGTTTTTTTTTTTTTTTATCAGGGTCAAAAAATACAGTGATTATGAATGTGCTGTGACCAGTTATGGAATTTTACAGGTAACATAACTATAGTCAGCAGTCCAACGGCGTGCACAGTGCCTTCAATTAATGCACTTGAGCATAATTACATTTCTGGCAGGGTCCACACCCCCAAGAAAAGGCAAAGCTAAGCATTTCATTTCTACATTCTAAACTCTGGAATCACAGAGCCCAGTTTAAAAGAAAGTCACAGTGGATAAGAGATGCCTATAAAAAATACAAGGTGTTCCTTTCAAATCAGAGGAATTGTGGGACTACATTCATTTCTTTTACAAAATGCTATTTAAAAAAGGACAGAGAATCCAGTTCATTGTTATGCTACAGGCTGAGACAGGAGTGAGTATATTGCGTGTTTGGTAGTCGGTCTTCAGGCTTCCTTTCATTTCCCCCCATAGCCCCAGGTTCCTTTTGGGTGAAACACGTGAGTCCTGAATGAAACATATAAAAATGTGTTTGCATCTCTCTTCTTGAATTCTGCGGACTTCGGAGCCCGCAAGTCATGTATCCTACCATCAGTGACCACGATCTTTTCTTTAGCTTTGTATACCTATTCTTGTAGAACAGTGCATTGCACGAATGTACAATACTGGTTTTCATCTATACAGTTTCTGTAATAATTATGGAGTAAAATAAGTTAACTTTTCTAATGAGAATAGCTGACGGGCAGCATACATCTTTATTTTACATTTTAAAGTCTCTGCAGGCATCTACTTTGGTTAGTTATCAACAATCGTAACGTAAGCACTGATCAGAGAACTGAGCAGCATTCCAATAACATTAACAGATATATTATTTCTTTTCAAAATACCGGGAAAGCCCAGCTTTAAAATATTATTAAAGTGTTCTAACATTTACACACTATGAAGAGTTAGATCTAATAAAATAAAATTTCTTCAAAAATAATCTTGCAGTGCTCTTTTAGGCATGCTCTGACATGTTATCACCAAACATCCATACCTTGAAAATAGGACTATCACATACTCACACATCCCCGCTCACACACACATAATCCCTTATACAGACTAAAAAAACAGAAACACCCACGCCCTTATCCCATGTGTTGGGGAAAAAAAAAAAATCCAATGTTTTTTTTTTTTCTTTTTTGCAAATAAGTCTGTGTATATCTATCCGACTGAAGGTTCTTCATGTAGATGATTAAGCGTCAGCTGTAGAATATGCTTCTGGCTGCTGGAAATCTAGGCAGCTTGGCAGGTCTTCAGCTAAAA